GGCGCGGTGTCCCAGCCGTCAGAGCGGCAGGCCACCTGGATCCCCCCGTCCTGGTAGCGCTCCAGCGCGATGAGCGGGGCAGAGCCGCTGGCTGCGGGAAAACAGAGACCCCCCCGGTGATCCTGTGGGATGCCGGATATTGGGGGAACTGGATGTTCCTCTCCCTGACACGAAGGGGTGAATTTCAACATAGACAAATCCCAGTTGGTTTTTTTTTTTAAGACTAGTGTCACCTGGAGTCAGGACATTTCTTGCAGTCTTTTTCACATAACTCAAAGATCTGCTCTGGAGGCTACAACTGCAGCAAAATAATCTGCAGGCCTGGATATTAAAATATAAAAGCATGAACCAAGACATTCTTACTGTATTACCCAATGCCAAATTTTTTCTTACACCCACTTATATGGAGAAAACGATATCAAGAACATTTCTGAAGTAAGTAGCATATCTCACGAGCTCCTTATGGCTGCTCAGTAGGCAATTTTACCTCTCTGAGACATTCTTGGTATTTTCAACCACAGGAATTAATAAAACCCTATTTCCAAAGCAACCACCTAAAATTGCTGCTGGGAAGAAGGAAAGGGAAGAAGAGCACTGGCTATGAGCAAGTAAATTAGAGGTACCAGGGACATGGACTACAGACCTGTCACCTTCAGCTCCACCACAGCCTCGTCATAATCTGAGTCACGGCGAACAAAGCAGGTGTAATTCCCTCTGTCAGACAGTTGGACATGGAAAATTTTCAAGTCCACGCTGCCCTTGGTGAGGCCGTCCTTCAGCAGCTCGGTGCGCCCTTGGTATTGAAGCATCTGCTCCCCGTACTGGTCCTGGCCCCCCTTGTAACGATGCACAAAGCGAGAGAAGTGTTCCCGAAACCAGATCACCTCCGTGTCCCGTGTGCTCTGCTCCGGGGAGAAGCGGCAGGGCAACACCACGTCCTTGCCCATGGGCACAGTGATGGGGCCGGGGGGTCCTGTCACGTTGAGCGGAGCTGGGAGAAACCCCCAGAGGAAGAAGAAATAACTGAGTTTGCTGTGGTAACTGAGCTCGGAAAACCAGCCCATGCTGCTCCACGTGGTTTGTGTGCTGCCGTGCCATGCCATCACATTGGGAGCGTAACTGCACCAGGGGAGATGAGGCATTGAGGGGAGGGTTGGGAGCGGGACCCCTGCCATGCAGCATGGTGAGTGGGCTGGGGTCAGGCCACTGCCTGTTCCTCTGCTTCCCTGTCCTGCACTACCGTGAAAGTTCTTCAAATCTCTAAAAGATGATTTGTTCTCAAGGGGACAAGTGCTGCCCATGCTGCTCAGGGTGGGGAGAAAGCAGGATCAAGAAGGGAGGAAGCGGCTGGAAGGTTTCTGGGTGGTTGGCTGGAGAAAGCAGACAACTTGGGTACAAATAAAACTCAAATATCCTCAGCTATTCACACCTATTACAAGAGAAAATAAAAATGTCTCAGGTGCTCAGGGCATCTTTGAAAATTAAAAAAAAAGGCTTATTAGTAAGCTGGCCACTCAGCTCACAGAGAAAGTGGTTTCTGGTTGAAGGAGAACAAAAGCAAATCAACTTTTTTTGGCAAGGTAACTTTCAAGTCAACTGTTGTGCTGCATCCTTTTGCCAGAGCTGCCTTGAAGAAGCTGCTGCAGGTCAGCAAGCTAACAGAAAAAGAGCCCAGAATATTTTTTAAAAGATTTTTTTTGTTGTTTTTTCCCTTTATTGAATTGGTTCTGCAAAGGATCCAGCGCACCCTGGACACAGTCCAGTAAAGCGATAACATGCTGGGAACGTGCTGGGAACAGGGAAAGCAGGGAGGGAAATGGCAGCAAACTATAATCAACTCATCAGCATCGTCTAATCTCCACCTGAGTTCAGCGAGGTTGTGTGAATGCCTGTGCTGACATGGCCAGAGGAATAAACCAGGATCCAGAGGGATGCTGGCGCTCTCAGAAATGGACAAGGTTTATGGCAAAGGGCCTGACCCTGCTCTGTGCTCTGCCATTCACGGGGAGTAGCTGCACTGGCAGCCGGGAAGATACGCAGGCTGGAAGCAATGCCACAGGGATCAGCAAGAACCAGGGGGATCCCTACCTGACTGCAGCTCATGAACCTGGAAAACCAAACCATAAATGATAAAAGCTGGCAGAGAGCAGCAGAGGTGGAAGCTGGAGAGCATTCTCTTCACTGCTGCACAACCTGGAGACAGGGAAGGAGAGGCAAAGGGCAAAAGGGAGGAGAAACAAGGGAATAAAAAAAAAAAGGCAGAATTCACTTTTAAAGGGGATTATTGCTGATTGCAGCCCCTTTTTATAATGTCTAGAGAAGACCCTCAGATGCCAAAGGTTGAAATCAATTTTCCATCATCAGCCTGACTTTGCTTGGTGCTTTACATACAAAGTACCTGACCTTGTAGGAATTTCCCATGGTGAAACAAAGGACAAGCTGCAACCTCTCCTCTAATTCCACAAAAAAGTGGCAGTTGTTTTAATATGGATCCCTTGCTTTTCTTATCCAGCCCTAAGAAGGAGATGGAAAGGCGCAGGACGAGGAGAAACCTAGACTGAATGCACGTGGGGCTGGGGCCGCATGCTCCTCCTCCGGGACAAATTTGGGACTGAGTTGGTAGTGCGTCCCCTGCCACCACACTGAGGGTGGGAGGAGGTCTCAGACCAGGGAAAGCAAAATAACCACAACACTAATTCAACACCCAGCCAAGATGGGACCTGGCCCTGCTCTGAACCCCCCCCGAACCCTCTCATCACTCGCTGACTTAGTCCCGGCTCTGTTAATGAGAGCTGAAAACCATGACCAATTCTGGCAGATGGCAGAAAGCGATTTCAATCTGCAGCTTTCCGAGAGACGCCGCATACCTGGAGACCCCGAGCTTTTTCATGGGCTCTGGGCTGGGGCAGGAGCTGCTCGGCCGTCACCCGGTGCATCCAGAGCGGTCAGCCCAATCCGAGCTGAGCATTTCCCTGTCTGAAAACGAAACAAAAACGTCACTTTGTGTCCCAGCCTGCCACCCGTTTCCTCTTGCGCTGCCTCCGCTCAAAAATGAAAATTGCTGAGTGATTTGGCCTTTTTTTAGCAATGCTTTTGCTCTGGAAATGCTCCTCTGGCAACATCCACAGGCACGTTCCTGCTGCAGACGCCCTCCACAGCTGCGTATTGCAGCCTCCTCCCACGGCTCTCCCCAGACTTGGGAGAGGATAGATACCAGCAGCGGTTTGCACGTTCCCCTGGGAAGATCCCGGAGGCAGCAGTGGGAAGGAGGGAGGTGTCGGAGCCGTGATTCACACCCAGAGGCAGCACGAAGTGGGGAGCAAAGCCCTGCACTAGCTTAAAAATTGCTTAAAAGCAATTCCCCCCCAGCCAAGAGGCAAAGCCATCAAGGATGGTTTGTTCAGGGAAAGCTGCTGCCCTGGGATGTGTCACAAAGGCAGCCCCACCGGGTGCTCAGCCCAGCCGGGTCTGGCACCCTCCAGTCCCCAGCCAGGAGCACGGGGGCACACAGGAGGTGAGAGCATCTGCTCCGGTAAAGGGACCTGATCAGGGACCTTGCCAAAAGGGATGACAAGGAAAAGAGGGAGGCGATAAATGACGTGTACAGAGATACAGACCTGGCCAACAAATGATGGCAGAGGTATGTATAATAAACTAACCTCATCACTCATGCTAATCGCTGGGCTATCACAAATCTGCAGGCATCACTTCAGGGAGGGCCAGCCTGGCTTTTGCGACTGTAAGGATGTAAAGCTGGGGGTCGCAGGTACAGGGGGGTGTCAGTGGAAGTATGTGAACAGCTAAAGGCATGTGCAGCAGAAGGGAATCAGGGAGGACAAGGTGGGGGACAGGCAGAAAGGTGTATAAAAGGGCCCGGTCGTGGGTAAAACAGAGCCAGTCAGTGCGCTTGGCTGGCTGGTGAGTCAGAGTCTCCGGGTGCTGCGTGTTTGCAGGGAGCATCAAGCTGGACCAGCCAGTGAGTAGGGGACATGGGAGGGAGGGGGTGTCAGAGGGCCCAGGGTCCGGGCAGGGGTACCAGGCAGACAGAGGGGCCGTGCCACTGCTTGAGGATCTGCAAATGTGCACGTGATCCCAGAGAGCGTCGCATGTGTGCCTGCACTAGTGGCCTCCTGCCTCTGCCAGCCCTGCAGGAGGAGGGGACGCAGCTCCCTGTGCTGGTGGGTGATGTGGGTCCTGCAGGTGGGTGCTGTTGAAGGCAGCCCCTTGCCTGCAACAGGCTGTGACCTGGGGGGGGGGGTCCCCCACCGTGCCATGCCCATGCCACCATGCGACAGCGGTCCCTGCAAAGCCAGTCTGTTCCCAGTCCCGCCTTCCCGGGCCCCTGTCCCAGCGCCAGGCAGCAGAGCCATCTGGCAGCAGGTCCCCTTGCACCCTGCTTTATTTTGTGCACAACTGGTGGCTTTCAGAGTGATGTGACAAAGCAGAGTTGGTGCCACCTCCCAACTTCCCTACAAGCAGGGGTGAGGCCATCGCACCTGGGCACATGAAGAGCTGCCTGGAGAACAGAGAGGTGGGATGCAAAGCCCAGCACCTGCTGTCCCCATTTACCAGTTGAGCAATCAAAGCAACACGTGCCCTGCAAACATCTCCACCCTGAAACCCATTGGCAGCATGACAAATCTGGGCAAGCAGCGCCTTTAAGAAGCCAGACCTCTTCCCTTATCACAGTACGCAGCCTGGACACCTATAGCATGGCCACTGGTCTGTGGCTGGGGTCCCCAAGTGACATCCCACCGGGCTGGAGGTGCACGTGGTGCTGTTGACCTAAGAGGGCTCTGAGCATCCTGCTGCAGGAAGATACAGCCTCTTCCAGCGGTGCAGCAAGCTCTTATCACCCACCCGCAGCTGGCCCAAGGGAGGGGAGATGCAGCAGATCCTGTGATGCAAACAGGACCAGGGCACTGCAGGAACGTCAGCAGGGAACTCCCAAATTCAAGTGTCAGATGAGGTCACACGCCCACTGGCAGCTTCAGGGCATGGGAGGCAGTCACCAAGAGGAGGGGAGATGGAAGCTCCAGTGGTGTGATCCCCCACAGAGAGGCGAAGGTGCCGGACTCCCAGCTGTGCTCTCCAGGCCATCCAGCCCCTCCGGACTTTGATCTGCTCACTTGAACAAGCTGGAAATGCTGTGCAAGCCCAGTCCAGCCATGAGCTGATGAGGAGGTCAGGGGAGTGGAAAGCAGACTGAAGACCTTCAGACTCATCCAAAAACCTCCTTTCCTGGAGTCAGCCTGCAGGTGAGTGCTGGCTGTCTAAAAAGTGCCTGAATGCTGTGACTTTTCCATCATTCCTTCTGCTTCTTTATCACTACTTTAGGCAGTCTCTGTCTCGCAATTTCCACTTTCAACAGGGAATCCTGCCTCCCCTCCTGTTGATTTTCTGCGAACGTGCTGGTATCCAGGATGGAGAGAGAAGAGAGGGAGACCCTGGCCAATGAGGTGGAGGAGATGAGTGGAAGAGGTGAGTTTTCAGCAGGGAAGAGGAGGGGGAACTGTCCTCTGTTGAGGAGAAAAATGCATCCTGCTTCTGCTGTGGAAGAGCTATTTAGGGTCAAAGCACTTGGGACTTGTCCCAGCCTAGGTTGAATTCCTCGTGCTGTAGAACCACCACCAACATCAAATACACCTGAGCTGCCATGCTTGGCTCCCTCTATTGCCCACAGAAAGAAACAGGAATCTGGGGTCTTGGGGTAATGTCTATTGCGCCCGTTTGTTCCCAGATGTGCCTGTTTCACTCTTGCAGCACTAGAGACACGCAGGCTCAGGTCCAGGTGTCTGCACAGCAGAGGTGCACCCATCCACTCAGGTGCATCCTCCTCCAGGAAACTGGGGTCTCCTTGGCCAGGGATCGCATGGAAGCTCCTGGATCAGGATCAGGGCAGGATTAAGGCTGGGGCAGTCCAGCACGAGGGGGTTTCCCACCCCACACTGGACATCTCTGGGCAGGGGAAAGGAAATCACCCTGTCCCTTCTCTTGCTGGGGTGGATGCAGCCCTGACGCACCCCTGGGGCTGCCTGTTCTGAGCAGCTTCTCCTCCTCTGTCCCCAGCCGACGTGACCCTGGACCCAGACACCGCCAACCCCTTCCTCATCTTGGCTGGCGACCAGAGAGGCGTGGGACGGGGGGATGAGTGGACCTCGCTGCCCAACAACCCCGAGCGGTTCGACACAGAGCCGTGTGTGCTGGGTAGCCAGGGCTTTGCCACAGGGAGGCACTGCTGGGAGGTGGAGGTGGCTGACGGGGGGGACTGGTGGGCTGTGGGGGTGGCTCAGGAGTCTGTCAGGAGGAAGGGGGTCCTCAGTTTTACCCCCCAGGAGGGGATCTGGGCTGTGGGGCAGTGGTTTGGACAATACCACGCTTTCACCGACCCTGACTGGACCCCCCTGCACCTTGCCTGCCTCCCCAGGGCCATCCAGGTCTGCCTGGACTTTACAGACAGGCATGTGGCATTTGCTGATGCTGAAAACAAAGCCCCAATCTTTGCTTTCTGCCTGGCTTCATGTCCCGGGGAGAGGCTACGCCCGTGGCTCTGGGTGGGGATGGACTCGTGGCTCAAGCTGTGCCCCTGACAGGGAGGCAGCGTGGGTGGCGGGGGGAAACTGGAAAGGCGAACACCATCATCTTGGGTCTTGGTGCTGGGATCTGGGAGGGTCCTGCGTCCTGCCATGGTTCCTCTGGCCACCAAGCAGGAGGACTGGCAGGTCTTGGAGAAGGATGAGCCTCCTTCATCCCCTCCACCCCACAGCTGGGACTGCAGAGACAACAGGGAGCACAGAGATTCGGTGCATGAAGGAGCTTGGTGCCAGGCGGCCCCAGGGCAGAGAAGTGGCATTCAGTGCCCGGGCACTGCAGAGCTGCTCTGTACAAGGCCATGAAAAATACAGCACGTTCAAACTCCTTAAAAGGTGCTGGAGTAGTGTCTCTGGCTTTTTTCAATTAAGCTTAAAGATTAAGTTAAAAAACAAACAAACAAACAAACATAGCTGCATGCTGGACCTCATGATAACACTTATCTTCTCCATACATCCAAAGCCTCTCCTTGCCTTATTTCCAGTTCTCACTGACACGTGCATTCAGCAAATTTCTTACAGCAGAGCACTAGTAAAAGCTATAAGAACAGCCAAGGAAGGCAAGCAAGAAATTGAGAAGTGTCTGAAGTCCACAGGCAAGCCAACTCCCACAGATCTGCCGTTCTCTGATCCCCCCCATCAAGGTCTCCTTTTCCTCACAAGTAATAGACTAGACTAGAGTAGTTCAGTTGGAAGGGACCTACAATGATCATCTAGTCCAGCTGCCTGACCACTTCAGGGCTGACCAAAATTTAAAGCTTGTTAATAAGGGCATTGTCCAAACACCTCTCAAACACTGAGAGGCATGGGGCATCAACCACCTCTCGAGGAAGCCTGTTCCAGTGTTTGAACACCCTCTTGGTAATGTCAAGTCTGAACCTCCCCTGGTGCAGCTTTGAACCGTTCCCAGGTGTCTGGTCCCTGTATCCCAGGGAGAAGGGATCAGCACCTCCCTCTCCACGTCCCCTCCTCAGGAAGCTGCAGAGAGCAACGAGGTTGCCCCTCAGCCTCCTTTTGTCCAAACAAGACCAACCCAGAGTGCTCAGCGGCTCCTCAGAGGACATGCCTTCCAGCTGTAGATCTGCTCCGGACAACTGGCATTTTGTGGAAATGACGTCCAAAGCACATGCTAGACTTGGAAAAGGTGGGGGGGTCCCCACTCCCAGGGACCTTGCTTTGTCCTCTCCTGCTAACTCCTGTTCTTAGGAGAAGAAAAGATGAATGTAGGCGAAGGGGAACATTGCCTGGGTCCAGCCTAGATTTCATCTTCTCCAGCCACATTGCTGGTTGGACCCTCTTAGTGCCAACTGGGAGACAGTCCTGAAGGGCAAAGGGGTCCAGGAAGGCTGGACGTTCTTCAAGAAGGAAATCTTAAAGGCGCAGGAGCAGGCTGTCCCTGTACGCCGTAAGAAGAACGGGTGGGAAAGACGACCGGCCTGGCTGAACGGGGAGCTTTTGCTGGGACTCAGGAAAAAAAGGAGAGTTTACCGCTTGTGGAAGAAGGGGCAGGCGACTCAAGAAGAGTACAGGGATCTCGTTAGGTCGTGCAGAGAGGAAATGAGAAAGGCAAAAGCCCAGCTAGAACGCAACCTGGCCGCTGGCGTTAGAGACAACAAAAAAAGTTTTTACAAATACATCAATGACAAGAAGAGAGCCAGGGAGAATCTCCATCCTTTATTGGATGCGGGGGGGAACATTGTCACCGAGGATGAGGAAAAGGCTGAGGTACTTAATGCCTTCTTTGCCTCAGTCTTTAGCAATCAGACTAGTTA